AACCAAAGCCTCAGCCTGCCATTAATATTTTAATTGAAGCCATGAATATTCATGACGGGTTTGCTTCTTTAGAGGACAAGATCCGATAATTAAATAATTCTAATATGTAAATGTGCTCCTGTCATGACACCTTGCCTTCATCTACATTACAAAACTGAGGCAATTTTAGCTCTTTCATTATTTATGTAATTTTGGTTCTACTGGCTGATTTTTTTTTTCTTCTGGACTAACTCAGGCTCTTGACACAGAAGGCAAATCTCAGTTACAGGATCAGTCACTGTGGACAATTCCAAAGTCATCTGCCTCCCCTGACTTTGGCATTTTGGGAGGAATTTCATTTATCATTATTTTGACATGATCCAGCTTCTGTTTCCGAGCTAATTCCAACTGTGAACGCCTGATATTTTTCACAAACCCAGGAGAAGGCAGCAACCACAATGTCCTTTAGGATTCCAAAATTTCTTAGACTTCAGCACCAATAAAAAGTACCTGGGTCAGGCTGGAAATGGTTTGGAGCAACCTGGGGGAGTGGAAATTGTTCCTGCCCATGGCAGGGGGTGGGATGAGCTTTGAGGTCCCTTCCAACCCAAATCATTCTGGAATTCCATGAAAAATATTTGGGTTTCTGTGAGCAAAAGAGTGGCAGCTATCTTCTAAAATAAATCCATTTCTTCCCTTTGCAGCAAACTCTGGATGATTCCAGCAAGTTTTCCCTACAGTTGCTTTGAACCCCTCCCCATTTCCATCCAAACTAAAACCTAAAGGATTTCACATGAGCACAAAAAGCTTGAAAGGGCTGCCAGGAACATTAATTGTCCCCTCAGCTCCTCCACACAACCCCCAAGTTCTCCCCTTCACACCCACCCCAAGCTCAAACCCAGCTCTTGCCTTCACTCTTCAGACCTCACTTCTCTACTTGTTAGAAGCATTTTTTTCCCCAATTCCAGGTTAAAATTCCTTTTGGCCACTTCATTCCTGTCTGTGGCAACTCCAGTTTTCAGTCTGGAGCTCCTGGTACCTTTTGTAGGCAATGGGATCAAATTCCAGCTTGAAAGAGTCCTTTTTTCCCCGATATAAACAGATATAAATTGCATCCAACATTTCAGAGGATTTGTCCAGTGTCTGTTGGGCAGCTTGGAGTAATTCTGGAACCAAATGTTTTCCTCATCCCCCACATTGTGGTTTGGGTTGGGATGGACTTTAAAGATCATCTCATTCCACCCTCCTGGTGGAGCATCCATGGGGATCCATAAAATCTGTCTCTATTTCCATGTAAACTTTGGAGAAAAAGGGGGTTTAACAAAAACAGGGCCATCCTTTTCAGACAGAAACCTAAAAGTAGTGTATAAATATTAAATAAGGTCAGTCAGAACTGTGACTGGGAAGCTCTTGGAGTTGAACTCCTTCATC